AACTATTTAGTATATTACTAGAATAAGCCTAAGAGATATAAGCTCTATAGCCTATTATAACCCTTATAACCGCTATCTAGACTATAGATTAGCGTAATAATAGACTTTATAGTAAAGCTTCTAAGATTATTAGAACTAGAATTAGCCTAATTTTGCGATATAATCTTAGTTATAGTAGATTAATTAACTAAAGTAGTAAAATTTATATTTACTAAAGAGACTATTATAGTAGAAGAATACGCGTATAAAGTCTAGAAAGCACTAGTATTAGAGTATAAGATTTCTAAAGAATTTATTATAAATAGAGATAAGCTATTTACATTCTTATACTAGATAATATTCCTAGTAAAATTAGGTATAAAAAAGAAGCTTTCGACGAGCTTTTACTCTAAAACAGACGGCTAGATAAAACGAATAAATTAGATATTAGAGTAGTATCTGCGGATATACGTTAATAAACTATAGAATAACTAGGTTAAGTACTTACTATTAGTATAACTAGCTTATAATAGTACGAAATCTATAATAATAAGATAGTTACTATACTATATTAACTATAGATATAAGCTAGTAGCTTATAGAGATCTAAAGGATATTAAAAGTATTACTAATAGTATAAATAAGAAAGTACGCCTATTACGAGAATTATATAAAGAATTAAGTAAATAGATCGCTTAAAGAAACCTTATAACATCTAAAGTAGTAAATAAGCTAAGAATTAAGAGACTAACCTTTAAAGAGAGAGATAAAGTTTTTCTATTAAGATAGAACTTAAAAACTAAACGACTATACAGAAAATTAGACAATCTATAAGTAGAACTATTTAAAATCCTAGAGAAAATAGAACTAGTAAACTATAAACTATAGCTACTAATAGATATAAAAGTACACTCTATATTCTATAAAAAGCTTTTAGAACTAGCACTCTAGAACGCTAAACTAGTAGAAGATATTAAACTTAAAAACGACGAGTATATAGTTAAGTTAGTTAAGAATCTATAGAAAATTAGTTATTAGTAGAAATACTTAGTTAAGTAGTAAGGATAGCTAAATAGCTAGAATACTTAGGAACTAGAAGAAAATTTAACGAACTATAAGGAATTAATATAAACATATTATAGATAGTATCTAGAGAAGAGAAGGCTAGGCCCTTAAGAGAGAGGAAGTAATTAAGAGATAAGGGATTAAAAGAATTAGCCTATAACCTGCCTAGATTAGCTAATAATCTAGATAGTGATAGTTTAACAGCAGGAAGGTTTATATTAGAGGTAGAGCTCCTCTCGGCCTACTCTTTTATGCGATTCTAGAACTTAAGAAGCGTAAGGTCGCGATAGGCAAAAGAACACTCGCGAGACTTTACCTTAAGAAGTTCTACCTCTTATTAAGAAAGCTAAGCGTCTAGCTAGGCCCGTTAAGCCTTTAACTAAGTAACTTTAAGTTCCTTTTACTTACGTTCTTACTAAACTTACTTCTACTCTTCCTTAGATATAAATAAACTACACTTAGCTTTTATAGAAATATAACTAGCGCAACGACTAGTTACAGTATCTATAAAATAATAAAGATTCTTCTCTTTATAATATTTATAATAAAAAGGCATTTTATTACCTTACTATTAAATATAGTTAGTATAAGAATAACGCTCTTTATTCGACTTCTAAGTACGAACGCGATGAGAAGACGGGACCTTAGGTATAGTTAGAAAGACTAGAGTTAGAAAGAGATAGTTATAATAGCCTAGGGCCTACTAACCTTATATATAGCCGACGCTTTAATACGCAGTATAGGAAAACGATAACCTAGGGTATTAAGATAATAGCCCTAAAGAGGGAGATAATATTATAAGTAATAACTAGAAGGATCCTCTTCCTAGGTATAATAATAAATAGTTAGGAAACTACTAAGAATCTTAATAGGTATAACTATCGCGGGGCTTAAGGTTACGTAACGTGCTATCCCGCTAAGACAGAATATCCCGCTAAGTATAGGATAGTAATGAACTTTAGAATAGTATGCTATCCCAGACATCCCGCTAAGAGGCAGAAAGATAAGATAGACGGGATAGTAGGACTAGAAGCAATAAGGATATAAGGATAGATAGATTTTATTATTTACTCTCGTTATAGTTAACTTAAATTATACTTTCTTACTAGTTACTTTACTTAAT